ATTTATGGATTTATTTGAGAAAGCTCGGATAGCTCGAGGTTTGGAAGCTGTGGATAAAGGTATGAGTAAAAGAAAGCAGCTATAACATTTGGTTTTAAAAGATCAACTTTCATTGATAGAAGTAACGGCAAGCATACTAAAAAAACGGCAAACCAACTAAGTTGAGTGACAACATTGAGAACATTTTAGTAAAAATTTTAATATTTATAAGTGATATTGATCTTATAAGATCAATATCACTTATTAATATTAAAATTTTTCCTAAAATTTTTTTTAAAATTTTTCCTAAAATTTTTCCTAAAATTTTTCCTAAAATTTTTCCTAAAATTTTTCCTAAAATTTTTCCTAAAATTTTTCCTAAAATATTTCCTAAAATTTTTCCTAAAATATTTCCTAAAATTTTTCCTAAAATTTTTCCTAAAATTTTTCTTAAAATTTTTACTAAAATTTTTACTAAAATAAAATTTTTACTCAAACTATAGTTTGACTTGAAATACTGTGTGTTGTTAATAACTACTTGGTTAATTCAAATCAAATTAAAAAAAAAACTTTTTTTTACAGTATCTTAAAATAAATCGAAATACATTGGAAAATAAAATTTATCTAAATTAAAAAAAATAATAATAATTCTTATCGTTTAAAAATAGCGACCATTAAAAGTTTGAAAACCCCTCTATTTGAAAGGGTTGTCAACTTTGCGAGGTCATAATTTTAGAATGTTAAAATAGTTTTTTACTAAATAAGAATTTTATATATGAATTTTAATCGAATTCATAATTGAAGAGTTTTTTTAAAATGCTATTATTGTCCACTCCCTCATATATAACTTGGGGCTCATATTTTATGGGAATTTTTAAACAATATGTTGATTGGGGTAAAAAAACGTTTACATTAGAGGTTAAATGTATAAACAACATTCCTCTGTTTTTTATACTTCCTTGTGGTATGCCACTTTTTTATTAATAGATATTATGAACTTTTTTTATCTGCTGTAGTAGTTAATTAAAAAATTTAAAAAATTGATTAGTATAGCTCATAATTTTCAAAATGCAAAACATTAAAAACTCTCATAAAAATAGTAGAACCTGCCTAATTTGTTTTTCAAAAGTATCAGGAATGACAGAAGTTAAATAAAGAAGTGTGACATTGAACAGAATACATAAGTTCTTTTTAAAATTATTTGATTTGAACAATGAATACTTACCTAATGGCAATTGAACTAAGTGTAGAGAAGCATTAGAAAACCGTGTAAAAGGAGATAAAATTCTGAGTAAACCCTATGATTTCTCAAAATTCAAAGTTAGTATACTTACCAGAAGCCAATTATTTTGTGTTTGTGACATTTGTGAAATTACTTAAACTACAATTACTCCAGGATCAACATCTGAAAATAAATGGTAATATTTCAAACTTGAAAATATAAAATATTTAAAATATAAAAACTGAAAACATGGATGTAAATTTCGTTCGATATTAATACAGGCAAGGTACCAAACTTCAATGCTCAAAAATCTCAAAATGTTGAAAAAAAAAATTTTGAGGAGGAGGGACTTAAAATCAAGATTGCAGTCAAAGGTAAAGCAATTGCTATTGCCCAAAAAAAAAGCTCTTTAAAAGCGCTTTTTCAGTTGAAAAAATCCCAATTTCGGAAATAAACAAATTTAAAAACACTTGTGGACTTAGTAACACAGGGAGCCAAAGTTCATAACAAATTTAGAAGCTGGAAGGGAAAAGAATTGAAAAAGCAATGTAAGAATGAAATTCCGTGAAGACGAGGCTTTTAAATGATTATTTTGATGTTAAAGAAATTATTTTTGAAAAAGGTTCCAATCAGTTGGTTTATTGTAATAATGTTTTGTTGAGACAGTAAAAAGGAGAAAAATTGTCAAAAGATTACAATCTAAAAGTGGGCACTCACTTTAGAGGCGGATTTTTAATATATTAGTTTATATATTATAGAAAAAGTGATAGAATATTTTGTCAAAAAAAAAAAGATATAGTTATGACGAACAAATAGGTGAAAAATAATTAAAAAATACAAAAATGGGGGCGTAAACAAATTGTTTATTATTGGTGGCTGAATTTTATTTAAATCTTGAGAAAATTATAACTATTTTAAAACTAAATAGTTTAAAATACTTTTGTGCTTTTGATATGAAATTTGCCAATATATTTTTCAGAATTAAAAGTGCAGCATCAACACATCTTTGCCCTTAGTGTAAGATTAGCAAATAAAAAAATGCAAGATTTTGAAAATCATGGTGAACTCAGAACTGTAGAAAGTATCCGTTCATTAACTAGTGCTTACAAAGCTGCCTGTAAAGATTAAAAAAAAAATATATCGAAGCTTTCAGCTGCAGGTTATATTAATTGCGCTAACTTTCCATAAGTCTGATTACTAAAAGCTCCAACGGAACTTCATTATCTTGGTTGAAATACAAATAGAGTTTACTTCTTTTACTTTGTGGAAATAAAAAAAGAATTTATAAATCTTGAAAAATATTTGCAACCTATGAATACCACTTCATCGGCAATCCAGTGATACCATATTTTAGGTTTTTAAAGGCTTAAGCTGCATGGTGGTTAATTTAAAGGTGGAGAATGTTCGAAACTGCTAAAAAATATTCATGTGTTAGAAGATATAATAAAATCTTATAAACTGGAAAAAGATGAACATATCATTTCTATAGTTAACTTCTCTAAATGTTTAAAATCTGTTTTAGTTACATGTATTGGTTCTAGTTTGTTATCTGAATATGAGTCAACCATTAACAAGTACAAAGATGCTTATGTTAAACTTGGTCTACGAGTGTCACCGAAAGTGCATGCTCTTATCAAGCATACGTATGAATTTATTTCACTTATGTCAAATTCCAATCCAAATAAAGGGTTGGGTTTTTGGTCTGAATAGGCTTCTGAATCTGTTCATGTGATTTCAAACAGTTTTAAGAGAGTGGATACAAAATTTCTAGTTGCCTTAAAGACTATCCGCTAAGCTTTTTTAAACCTACTGTTACGTACAACTCCCGACATAACTTCTTTAAAACAGTTTTACTTTAATAAATACATTATAATTATATGAGTATCTTTTAGAAACTATTATTGATTGTAAATGGAAATAAATATAAATGTAAACATTAACTTGTGTGGTTTAAACCATTCTCTAATTGAAAAACAATTACATATATACTAAAAGAGCAATTTCAAGAATTTTTATCGTTCAAGATTAGTAACCTCCAGTCCAGATATGTATTATCACACTTATACAAATAAAATAAAATAAAAAAATCATGGTGATCAGAGCTTGAGAACAATATTATCCTCAAATTTGGGACCTAAAGTCCAAATATTTTTTAGGGAAGGGGCAATGATAGCACTTAAAAAAACCACTATCATTATGGACTTGACTAAAATTGATCTGTAAAATTCTCATTTAGTAAAAAATTATTTTAACGTTCTAAAGTTGATCTCGGCATGTTCACAACCCCAGTTAAAAATTTATACATTTTATGGTCGCCATTTTTAAGCGATAAGAAATTTTTATTAGATAAATTAGTTTTTTTGATAAATTTCGATCTATTTTAAGATGCTGCAAAAACATAAAAAAAAAAATTTTCTTCTTTTTTCCATATTTGGGACAGCGGGTCCTAATTTTTCAGGTGTATATTGTACCCAGGCACCCACCACTATAATTTATGTAAAACATTCTTATTTGATACTAGTATCATTATTACAAAATTTAAAGTTTGTACCATCTCTAGAAGTTACGAGGTGTGCAGTAAATAACAGAGTTCTTAAGGAGTTTTTTAATTTATTTTTATTTTAGGTCCCCTAAAAGCCAATACGGTCTTATCACAGAGCACCGCGAAATAGAACTTCACGCTTCCTTCATTACCGATGTTATAAAATTTGCCAAGAGGTGGCTTTAAACCACGGCCGTGATTTAAGACCCGTACGGATATCTAGCTTCTGAGGCAAACACGTTAACCACTGCGTCGCAACTGCTCACAAATTCACAAGCTACCCCACAAGCAAACCCCAAACTGTTCCAGAAGAAAAATTAGATTCAAAAATGGCTCTCTCTTTTTAAAAAAAGACTTTTTTGACTATGTACAATTATGGCAAAAAAAAAAAAAAAAAAAATTAACGACCACCAAACAACGAAAAACCATTTTCGTAGTGTATAGAGTTCCAGAAAAGATTTAGTTAAATAATCAATATAAAAGAATATGAAAAGTTAAAGTTTAAAACATGTTTTAGCCGTTTGTTTGAAATACTCAAACTTTTAAAACGGACTTTATTCTTTTTAGCTGTTAGGCAACAAGAGTATCATGATATTCTGACCTTATTTTTATGACACTACATTTTTATATAATGACACTACATTTTTATATGTTTTATCAGATCTGCAAATAAAGTTGGGTTCAGTAATGAAACTTCTGCTTTCAATTTAACCCAACGATTTTTAATGGAGTTTAAATTGATTTGCCCGGCCTTTATCATGACTGGGCAATTCATTTTGACTTAATGCGCTGAATGGTATCATGAACAGTTATTTTAAGAACCTTTAAAGGTGCAGCATTTATTTTTTCAGACTTTGCCAATTTTTAATACTTTTAATAAACAACTTTTAATAAAAGACAATTTGGTCTTTTATTAAAAATTGTTGCTTAACCATACAGTAAAACAATAATGATTAAATTATACTTAATTTTAATGTATATTGAGCTTATAAAATATTTTCCTATTAGTTAAATACGCCCAGGCAAAACGTGATTGTTCAGTGCGTTGCCTGCACGCATATTTTTCATTTAAAAAAAATAATTATTATGATTATGATGTCAAATCTTTAATTGAATACTTAACTATTTTATTATATAGTATATTTATATACTGATTCCAATCAAATATAAAAATGTCTTTTGAAAAAACTTTCTACTAGTAAACTATGTAGAAAGAAAAACTTCAATGATCAATATGAAAAATCCGAAAATGAAAAATTAACAATATTTTAAAATATTTATTGTCATTCAAAAAACAATTTTAAGACAAAACAATGCTACAAAATTCCTTGATTTCTAAAAATACTTTCTAACTCTGTTTCCAAAACAGAATTTGTACCTTTCAAGCCCCGAACCACCTGCAGAGCCCAAATAAAATATTCATTAACTCTACCTTCAGACCACCCTACAGGTGTATTTATCAATAAGTCTCGTAAATTGTAAAGTTTATCTGCAAGTTTTACGACTTTTGCTTCGTACGAGGAAAAAGGAGCTTTTTCAATTTGCATCTGCTTTCTGACATCTTTTTCAAGAGTTTTATCATCTGAGCATTCTTCAACAATACCTCTTATTTTTTTACCAAAGTTAATTTCCAACTCTTCAAATGTAGTATTGGTATCTTCTACAGTATCGTGTAAAACTGCTGATATCAGTATATCTACATCAGTAATACCAGCCTCGGATGAAATAATACTTGCTACACCTATAGGATGATTTATGTAAGGTGTTTTATCAATATTTTTCCTTGTTTGCTTTGAATGTTTTTTAGCTGCAAAATCAAATGCTTCAACTAATTTTTTTATATCATTTTTATTTTCCATTTGTTTCTTGTTGTTATATAATTCAATTGTTGAAATTTTTAGTTTGATGCAACATTAAACTCAATATATAATTGCTGAA